TCTCATTCCCTTTCATTCCAAATAATCCCTTGCATTTTAGTGGCATTATTGCCCTTCTTAGGGTGAAATTATTAAAATTTAACTTTTTGAAAGTACTTAATATCAATGTCCTATTTAGAAAGCAAAGAAAAAGTTTGAAAAAAATTTTTAAATTAAAAATAAACACTGTATTTTTAAGCATTTAAAATCATTACATATATAGTATATTAGTAACATATGTAAAATAGAAAATCCAAGTGGAAAAAATCAGCTAAAATTAGAAGTTAGTAATCAACATGACTGAAAGTAGTGAAATGGACTCTTGTGTATGCATGTGTGTGGCTTCATGACTGCATATGTTGTGGTGGATATCATTGTTTGTGGGTGAGGTCATCAGTGCTGATTTCTTTGTACTAGTAGGAAAGAGAAAAGGAGAGAAAGAATGAAAAAAAATTATAGAGAAAAAAATGGATAATTTTTACTTGTGTTGCAAGGAGTTGAAAAATAAAAATTTATAAATAAATATATTATATATTATTTATAAATAAATTTATTTATATATAAATTAGATTTAGGGAACTTTTCTCACGCTCTCTTTTTCTTTTTTTTTTTATAGTAAAATGAAAAAAATTTGGAAACTCAAAATGTATGTAAATTCAAAAAGATGGATTAATAGTTTTAATGGTCTGTACCGTTATCAGTCCAGACCTGGCATCTCAACTTTCCTACTGCATGACATGGCTTCCCTCTGTCTTTTCTATAAATACTTTCATGGTAATTGTTTTGATGAGCTTTCCTCCTTGGTACCTTGACCAGATGAATCTAAGTGTACTACTTGATTGGCAACTAGGTCTCACTGTTTTATTGTTGAATTAGTTAGATATAACTGTATTTTCTATTCTAATAGTTTTTCTTGCACTTCTTGTCTGTGGAACTCTTTTCCAGTTTCCTGCTTCCCTGCCACCTACAATCTTCAAAAATTTAAATCCAATGTCAATTGCAATCTTCCTTAATCCTGTTTCTTTATTGTCCTTTCTCCTCATTGAAGTCTTCTCATTCTCCTTTACTCCCAGTAGCCACTTGCATCTTAGTGGCATTATCACCTTGCATGGAATGAAATGATTAAAAAAAAAAAGAATAAAACAGAGATGAATGAAGATATGATTGTTCCAGTTAGAATTTCATTGAATAAATTACAAATTTTTGTATTTACTGCAATGAACTTCCTAAAAAAAACAAAAAAACAAAAAACATATTTTAAATAATTTAAATGTCTTCTCTGAAGTCAAATTTTGGATTTATTTGAAAGATAATAGCCTAAAGTTAATCTGTATTAAAAGAAAAAGAAAATTTTTAGGCCTTTTTAAAACATTTGCATGCTTACTCATCACTCATCAAACTGCCAAATAAGATGAAAAATGTAAACAACAAATTTAATAATCTCTTAAAAATCCAATATTTGTCCAAGAGATATATTTCAAAGTCAGTAAATTTAAGAATTAATTAACTATATTTTGTAAATGTAATTCTTACTTTTTTTTTTTTAAACATAATAAAAGTAACATTTATTTATTCACACAAAGTAGTTTGTGATATCATAAAAACAGTTATTTTATCCCGTAATGCCAGACTTAAAAAACATGAGAAAATTTTTTAAAATATAGAAATATGGAATACCAACAATAATAAAAAAATTATATTTATGTTTAAAAATAAATTATCATTAACCTTATATAAACAATAGTTTAATATTATTTTTTTTATTCTATATGCTTTTACAAATATTAATAATTTTAATAAAATTATTCATTCTAATAATTAATAATTTTATTTTTTTATACTACATTAGAAGTAACTTTTTTTTCTTATATAATGATGATTCCATGCTGTCCATATCTGAGGATGGATTAAGCAATGATATTGCTTGAAGTCAAGACACAGCCATCATCTTTTCAAAGATGCTATGGCAATGCAAAAAAAATGAATCTGTAGAGAGCCATGTGTTGTATTCTGTGTTGTCTCGAGATAAAATGGTATCAATGAAAATGGTCATTTACTTTTGGTATTTGTTTTATTAAGAGTGGCAACTTGGATTCTAAGAGGCAGTAGGAGGACTGATGTGACAGGAACACATGTTGAATGTTGGCTCAGCATCCCTCCATGTGTAATACTATCTGATCGCAAACCTGGGTGTGGGAGTCATATTGATGCTTCAGAGTTCTTGAGACCCTCTGTTGAATTCATATCATTTTGGACATATTCAAAACCCAGGCAAAGTAACACATGATTTCCTGCATCTTGAAGAGACATAGCATTTTTAAAAAAATTCTAGACACATAAAACTTAGCGAGAGGCTTAATGGATCCTGAGGAGATGCAAAGAGTTTTAAAACTAGGCTTAGTTTTTATATTATATGAGTAGCATAAGGTTTTTGACCAGTACTAAAGGCTGCTTAATTTTTGCATTGAAATTAGTATTCTTAAATACTTAAATGGTTTAAATTCTAATAAATAGAAAAAAAAGTACATTTCAATGTAACTGAACTAGTAGAATTGGTAGCAATCTTGAATACAGTACAAAATGGTGTAATGGGTAAGTCTTTAATACAACATTTTTTTTTGTTTCTTTTTTTTTTGTTCTTTGGTTTTTCTTTGAGTTGCTTAAGCCACACTTATATTAGTTGTGTAGTTACTTAAAGTTTAGTTTAATTTGTGGGCAGTTGTTTACAAATGAATTACAAGAGGCATGTATGTGTGTATATATATATATATATATATATATATATATATATATATATATATAAAAACAAAATAGATGTCATTATTTAACCTTTAGGGACCTTTTGGCTAATACTTTTTCAAAAGATAGTCATTGGCAAAGCAAAAAACACAAGACACATTAATAATAAATAACAAATGAGGAGGGAAAGTTGGAATGCAATTAAAATAAATTTTAATTGTAAATAAATTATGACTAAAAAATTTGTGTATAAATTCAAATGACGTTCCAATGCGGTGTATATATATAGGACAAACGAATCAGAGGTTGGAAATGCGGATTATGAAACATGTACCTGTCTATTAACATTAAGAGAGTTGTTTTTTTAAGAACCACTCAAACAGTATACAACTCCTCTATTGGGCAGCATTTGCTGGATAACCCCTGATTGTCCTTCTGTTTATGATGATGCATTTTTTCCATTTTATATAGTGCTCCCTCGGTTCACCATCTCCGAGTCCTTGAGGCTGTTTACATCAAATCAGCTGAGCCTATATAAACAAAAGGAACATTTTATTTGTTCCTTATGTTTGATTAAGGAATTGTGAGTGACTATTTCTCTATTTTATACCCTTTTGGAACTTCCCATTTTTTAGTCGTTAATTTATTTACAATTAAAATGAAAACAATACTTTTGCTTATAAAAGAGTTAATAAGAAGGGGAGGATCAAGTGTTATAGTGGAACACACCTATTCTATAGTTAATAGACTCTCCCACCTATAATAAGTAGGAGTAGTAAGAGTAACGAGTCAGTCACTCAATGGGTCGGTCAGTCAGTCGATGCCGGACGACTGTTAGTCGAATACTAAGATATCAGCGACCACAACTAGATTTACTCTGTGTTATACCTATTATATGAAGTTCCTAATGTTTTGTACGTCGAACCTATTTTAGGACCGACTTAGTACAAATACAAGCCTCCACTGTGAAATCACTCCATAACATCAAGAGTTTAAAATCTTATGGTTATGTTACTGTTGACCAATCAAAAGACAGGTCAAAGCTAAAGCAGAAAAATTAAAAATATAGATTAGATGTTAGGGGTGTGTGTGGTATTCATACATGCCTTGAGGAACTGTCATATTAAAATGCAACACCATTAAGATACGATGAAATAATCCAAGAGATATATATATCTAACAATAGGTTAATTTTAGTTTTTTAAAATTATTTTAATATATATTTGAGAACAATCTTAAGGGGACTTCTAGCATGATTAAATCATTTTTATATATAATTTTGAACTTAAAATGTAATACTTATTTTATTCAATGGGCTTTAATAGAAGGCAATATTTAAAATTAAAAAAAATCAAGAAATTAAATCAATATTACATGTATCATTATATATAATAAAATAATGGATATATAATTGTAATACATAGATTTTTTATGAAAAATTCTATTAACTATATTTTAAGGCAAACATACAATATCTACATATAACAGTTACTTCATTACGCTGATTTAATAGATCATTATTTTTTAGAAAACTTAATATGTAGCTTTTCATGTTTAGACACAAACAAGAACTTGTAAGTCATTAAATGACCCATGTCCCTTAAACTTTGTATTAGATGTTTTTTTTGCAAGTTATGGTTTTAGGTTGACCTTTAGCTTCAAATGAAAGCTTGTTTTTTTCTATCCTGCTTCCTCAACCTTACAAATATGAACTTCATTCCACTCTGAGGTTGAAAAAGACAGACAACCGTAAATATCATCTACTGATTCTAGTTTATTCCTCATATGAGGTAAAAAGGATTTGTTTGATTATTAATTATATGTCTCTTTATAAATAAAATACATTAAGCTCTTTTTTGTGAATCAGATCTAATATTTTCATTTTACTAGGATCCAACTGGTTTATATACCAATGGGCTTTTTTGAATACTATATATATATATATATATATATAGATAGATAGATAGATAGATAGATAGATAGATAGATAGATAGGATTAATACAAACAAAATTTTTCAGTTAACTGATTGATATTATATTCAGCACCTTGGCTCTGGAGTTTTGTAGACAAATCTTTTTGCAATCATTCAACCCTCATCATCAGAGAATTTGAGGGGTAGGGTGACATAATAATGATTTAATCATAACAAGTCATCTCCCCAATAGCTGGGGGAGAAGAGGTGGAATACCTTTCCCAAGGGCATTTGCATGTAAGTGAATATAATGAACCCAACTGGAATTGGAACTCAGCTTTTTGATTAACAATTTCAAAATTATCCATTACAATACCTGGTATTTCCAAGAGGTCACCCATCTAGGTACTAACAATGTCAGACGACGTTTCTTAACTTCAGTGATCGTACAGGGAACTGGTGTTTTCAATGCTATATAGCCACAATCCAGTAATTATAAGAAAAGTTTTGTGATCTTTTATTTGTTTTTGATTTGTGCTGTCATTCCTTCACAGTTGACACACCCCATTTCATTACCCTGATGTAAACAGGAGAATGCATGGAAAAATACAAAATAATATGAGTAAATATGTTCATAATTTTGAGAGAAGTATATTACTATTCCAAATGTTCTTTGAACTACTGAACCCAGACTTTGTGTTGCTTTTGTTGTGAACACAATATTTTGGCTGGCCATTCTACAACCAGTAATTGTTATTTTCTTTTTATAGAAATATTTTTCAGCCATACATATTGAATTAAAATATACATGCACACCCACAAACATATATAACTCAATTTGGATGAAATTGAAATTTTAAACAAACAAACAATTCAGATTTATCACTTGATCATCATTCTGTCAATAAAGCAAAAGGTACTGAACTACAAGTAATAATAATAATAATAATAATAAAACACTACTAAACACTGCTAAAGAGGGAACATTGAAGAAAGAAGCATTTGACATCTTTTTGGATAGATGCCTAAGTTAGGCCAATCTCATGTTTTTTTTTTTTTTTTAGTAGTATTGGAAATCAGAGTATATACATAGGCATAAATATATCTTAGATGCCTCATTTAAAAGGTGGGGGGGGCTTAATAATTGAGGGGTGGAATTTCTCTTAACATGCAATAAACAGAATGGTGTTAATAAAAGGAGGGTCAGAAAATCATTTAATTCAAAAAAAATATAAAATTAATAAATAAAATAAGGTTGACTTAATAAGCTTTATGTGAGGGTGAATAATTTCTCAAAAAAAAAAAAAAAAAAATTTCTACCCCCACCTCCATCTATTAGGCACTTAAAGAATACTAAGAATGATATCATCTCTGTGGGATTTTTTTTTTCAATTCACTCCAAGCAAGGTGATAATGCCACTAAAACGCAAGGGGCTACTAGGATAAAAGATAATGAAAAAACTTTAGAAGGAACCATTCAACGGAATCCTTTTAACAGGAAACAAGGGAAAAACTTCTACTCCTGTTCAAAAGATCTAAGGATGAGTGTGAATAGGACAATAAGCCAATCTATCTACTCCTATTTGCATGCTTAAAAAATTCTCTTTTGTCAATACATCAGTTTCCATTCTTTTCTGTTCACTAAAAGCAACTTTCAATTTCTGGGACATAAGGAGAAAGAAAGGCTTGGAAAATCTGATAATTCACAGAGCAGATAGAGTGTTTAGAGGGATAAGGGAAGAATATACATAGTGGATTTAAGCAGTAAAGGGATGACAGAACAGGGTCTGGGAGAAGTAGCAAAAAAGACAAAAACATTGATAAAGGGATTTGGAAGTGAGAAACCACGATCGCCTTTTCCTGAAGAGATTTTTTTATTTTCCGTTTTAAGAAGAAATTTTCTGTCCCATCCATGCAAAACATCCATCTGTTTACTTACAGATTTTATGCTCAATCTCTATTAAAAAAAAAATTGTCCAAAAAAGTTTATAAATTAATCTTATTACTGAACTAGTGGGACCCGTGGAATTTCAATGGACTGAATAAATAGAATGTTGAGTAAACAAAAATTTTTACATATATATATATATAAAAAATAATGCATTGAAAAGGAGCAATTAAAATCTCTAAATATATAATAGAATAGAGATACTTAGGTAGTAAATAGTAAAAAAGGTATATTATTTGTACAATAGGTATATACATAAAGTTTAGCTATTAAATCTATCTTTTTTAACATACAGTACTCATAGATTGGGAAAAATAAATAACACACAGAGATACTTGAGAGTATTCACCATGTGTTGGCATAGATTGCCAATGCCAATAAGTCCGTAATACTCCCATTACATAGGGTCATGCCAGTTTCCTTTCAATATAAATACAAAAACATTAGACCTATATATGTACAAAACTATATAATACATGCCACATATAAATAGTTTCCTCTTTTTGGTACTATTGATTTATATATATATATATATATATATATATATATATATATAAATAAAAAGAAAGAACAGTAAGATATATAATCCTGTGTTCTTATAGATATTTTATTTTACAAAATAGTGTCCCAGAACTAAATTTAACAAAGAATAAGTATTATAAATTAATTTGATTTAAAATATGGTTTTAAATCAATTAATTTATAATATATATATATATATATATATAAACCAATAACACATACCTAATGCAATCAAGAGTCTCCATAATTTCTTAAAAACACTCCACTCTTTCAAGTCAGTACCTTTTTTTAGACAATGTTTTTAGTAACAGTTTGCACTCTTCTACTTCCTTGTCTGTCTCCATCATCTTAACCCTTACATCAACAGGTTTTCTACGACTCTAGAAGTGCTGCATACAATTGCCCAATACTGAATACTGGCTGAGGTAAGAACAATTAAATCCATTCTCAAATGTCTGCTCCTGTGAATTGTTAATAGTCATGGCATATGACAAACCAACAGGAAACTGGGTTCTCTCCAAAGTGAATTTTTTAGTTTTGATTTATTTGGAAATATCTTTATTCTGGGGATGAGAACAAGCCTGTCAATTAGTGAGCCACTAATCAAGGAAGCCTCAATTTAATGTTGATGCATGAAACTACTTCAGTCTTGTAATAATTCTGGAAATGTTCATTCTGGATAGAAATTACTATTGAATAATTACTATTGCCCGTTTTAAATTCAATTTTTGAAGAATCACACCCTGATGGTGTCAAAGAGTTTAGAAACTTCTGGGTTCAAATTCAGCCTCAGCAGGATCATCTGTTTAAACTTTATCTGTACTTTAATGCCCCAAGTGCAAAAGTTCTCACCTGAATTTGTCTAAGCTATAATGGAAGTATTGATCAGAATTAATCTTTGTTCTTTCAATGAAAGAATTGTTGAATTTTCATCCACCAGAAAGCCATCAAGACGCATGAAATTTTTAGGCATTTCTGTCATCAACAGTCAAGATTAGGATCTTGTAAAGCTTTGATGTTCCATTGCCAAGATGCAAGAGCCATGCTGCAAATTCCTTTTTGATCTGCTGTTTTTGCTTAATCTGTATTGAATGGAAAAAATAAGTCATAGAGGAGAATTTTTAATATAGATTTCATCAATGCCTCAATGATATTCCTCTTTAGCAATATGGGTAGGACTTGCCAAGTTTCCCCCAAAAGCACAACTTTAAACAAAAACAGCAGCAATTAATTAGTGATATCTCACAAGGCTTTATCAATAGCATGAAGAGCAAATGAAGGGATCATAGAAGCCTCATTCAAGATGATCAAATCCAGGTTTTGTAAATAATTTGCATAGTCTGAAGTGGCTGTCCTCCATGACTGGGACAGGCAATTTGAACAAACTATGGATAGTCTTTCCACCTGACAGTAGTGTAGAGGCAATGCCTGTCCAAACACCACTGCACATGTTGCAGGTGTTCCTTCTCAGATATGAAATTATGATATTAAACATATAAGTTTTACCACAACATCCTGGTGCATCTATATAGAAACAAGAGTTTCTGGGCACCTCACCTTTCCTCTTCTTATCTATAGATTTAAGCACAGCATTAGCAATCAGTCTATTCATCAGTAAGTGCTGCAATGCCTGCATGATTGAGGTATTGATGATGGTCAACCTGCAGTACTCCAATAGCATCAGGCAGCCCAACTGCTAAAAAATTAATCCCATTCTCTATCAGAATTGAGTGCAGTGCCATGTTTTCTGCATTAAAACCTTGGTGCAAGAAATCTTCAATCATGGATTCCTTGTGAGTAGTCCACAGGTGAAGAGCATTTTCAGGGCTCATATACATGCACAGGGCAACAAACATAACACACAACTGTAAGGGCATCCAACAAGTAGCAGCTTCTAGCATAGCATGTTCCAATGTGTCATCGTTTGAGAGAACATATCTCAAGCATGCTGCCTTAAATGTTGGCAACATTTTCTGTGTCTCTAGGATTCACTGTATACATTCTACTGATAATATTTGTATTCCTTCGCCTTGGTGTCCATCTTCTAGAGCACTTAGTAAATACATAATGCAGCAGAATGTTGGGGTACAAGTGGTTCCTTGCATCATAATCATGTGCATTCAGTTTAAACCATGTAACAAGTGAGGGTAGCGATCCGGTCCCTTTGGGCCTGTGCAGCTTGCTGAGCATTGCCTCTGTGAAAATAAACCCTTTGCTGGTCTTCAAGATGTACAGCAAGTCTGTAGATATTGTGAAATGTGTCATGTAACTTGAACTCTAACAGTTTCCACATAGCTTCCAGAGGAGAAACATATTGGCAAGCAAGATAATTAGTAATTTTATCATGAGCTTGATTCTGCTCATGATCTGCCGTTGGGTTTTCTCTTACTTCAACAGAAGCACAGTCATGTCCCTTGTACACGTACTTGAAGATATATTTAATGTTTTTAACTGATGAACAAATTTCTACATTAATGTGAGTTATCTACTCTTTCAGCAAGTAGGCACTGAATGGCACAATGTTCCTATTGTCAACTGAGTGACGTTTATTTTGAACTGTGATTCCAGTATTGTGTCTTCTGCAAAAATATAGCTATTCAAATTCAAAAGCATTTCATCTCTGTAGTTCTTTGGAAATTTCTTTTGGTATGAGCCATTTGCCATGTAAGAAGAAGAAGGATTATCAGTTCCACAAGGACCATGAATCATGCATTTTTTTTTACTAAATCATGCAAGACTGGATCATCATTGCCATGAGGAATTTCAGCTGTTATGATCCTATCTATGTTGTTGCTGTTTTTGAGTTTGTCCTCATTTCTCAACCCTACTAACATGTGGCAGTTGGACAAACCTCTCTTCTGAAACTCAATGACATCAACACAAGCAACTGACAACGCAAAAATGTGTCTATCCTTTATCTCCCTCATATGTTTTGCAAGGTGTGACTTGTACACTTAGGCAATTATATCTGGCCTATTTTCAGTGGTTTCATTTTGCTGTAGATTATCAATTAT